TATTAATTGAGCATATGTTTGGGTTAATATCTGGACTCTCTATTCTGTTCCACTGATCTGTTAGTCTGTTCTTGTGCCAGTACCAAATTGTCTTGATTAGTGTGGCTTTGCAGTAGAGCTTGAATTTGGGAAGGAGGATACCCCCTGCTTTATTCTTCCTTCTCAGGATTACTTTAGCTATTCGGGGACTCTTGTGGTTCCATATGAATTTTAGAACTATTTGTTGCAGTTTGTTGAAGAATGCTGTTGGTATTTTGATAGGAATTGCATTGAATCTGTAGATTGCTTTAGGCAGGATGACCATTTTAACAATATTAATTCTTCCTAGCCAAGACCATGGGATGAGTTTCCATTTGTTAGTGTTCTCTTTAATTTCTCTTAAGAGTGTCTTATAGTTTTCAGGGTATAGGTCTTTCACTTCCTTGGTTAGGTTTATTCCTAGGTATTTTATTCTTTTTGATGCATTTGTGAATGGAATTGTTTTCCTGATTTCTTTTCCTGTTAATTCATCATTAGTATGTAGGAAAGTGACAGATTTCTGTGTATTAATCTTGTATCCTGCAACTGCTGAATTCAGATATTAGATCTAGTAGTTTTGGTGTGCATTCTTTAGGGTTTTTTTATGTACAATATCATGTCATCTGCAAATAGTGACAGTTTGACTTCTTTACCAATCTGGATGCCTTGTATTTCTTTGTTTTGTCTGATTGCCATGGCTAGGACCTCCAGTACTATGTTGAATAGAAGTGGGGAGAGTGGGTATGCCTGCCTTGTTCCTGATCTTAGGTGAAAACCTTTCAGCTTCTCGCTGTTAAGTATAATGTTGGCTGTGGGTTTGTCATATATGGCCTTTATCATGTTGAGGTACTTGCCCACTATACCCATTTTGTTGAGAGTTTTTATCATGAATGGATGTTGAATTTTGTCGAATGCTTTTTCAGCATCTATGGAGATGATCATGTGGCTTTTGTCCTTCTTTTTGTTTATGTGGTGGATGATGTTGATGGATTTTTGAGTGTTGTACCATCCTTACATCCCTGGGATGAATCCCACTTGATCATGGTGTATGATCCTCTTGATGTCTTTTTGAATTTGGTTTGCTAATATTTTGTTGAGTATTTTTGCATCTATGTTAATCCGGGATATTGGTCTGTAATTTTCTTTTTTTGTGGTGTCTTTGCCTGGTTTTGATATTAGGGTGATGCTGGCTTTATAGAATGAGTTTGGAAGTATTCCCTCTTCTATTTTTTGGAAAACTTTAAGGAGAATGGGTATTATGTCTTCTTTATATGTGTGATAAAATTCAGCGGAGAATGCAGCTGGCCTAGGAGTTTTGTTTTTGGGTAGTTTTTTGATTACCGATTCAATTTCACTGCTGTTATTGGTCTGTTTAGATTTTCTGTTTCTTCCTGGGTCAGTTTTGGAAGACTGTATTTTTCAAGGAAGTTGTCCATATCTTCTAGGTTATCCCGATTGTTAGCATATAGATTTTCATAGTATTCTCTAATAATCCTTTGTATTTCTGTGGGGTCCATTGTGATTTTTCCTTTCTCATTTCTGATTCTGTTTATGTGTGTAGATTCTAGGTAAGGACAATTTGTTGGTCAACGATGTCAAAGTAAATATAATGGCTGATTTCACTAGGCTTTTAACTACATGCAAGAAGAAAAAATGCTAAAGGCCAACAGAAAATTAAATACCAGTTATTGGTTCTCTTTTATATAAAGGGTAGCCCTACAGTTTGGAAATATAAACAATACAATTTTTTTTTAAAGATTTGCGTTAAGTAAATTATCATATGCTGTATTATGGGTCAGCTTTACAGATAGATCCTTTTTGCTTACTTCTGAACTGTGCCAAAGTTATAGGTTTATTTAGTAAAAATGAGAGGGATAAATCAGCTGAAGCAACATATTACAGATGCTTCTGCTAGGATTAAGGAAAATGTAGTACACTCATTGCAATCTGAACTGTGCTTGCTACAGGAATAATACATTTATCATGTCATGGGATGTCAGTGAATATATCATGTATTTTTAATATTAAAATAACAAATCATTTATTATACAGATTTGCCTGTGTTTCCAGCATTTATGGCCAATTGATATAACCAACTAATATTGATTATATGTATGCACTTTTGAAATTCCATAGGTTCACTTTAGCCTATTTTCTAGAATAATATTCCTTAAATTTCATTTGAACCAAATTTACTGAAACTTCAGAGAAAGGGGTTTTTGCATTTTGATGACTTTATTTTGATTTGACATAAGTAAACTGCTGAAGAATTTGTTTTTTTGCATCAGAAAGGTAAAATAGCTGCATGATTTTGGGGAGTTAAAATATATGCATGCTATGCAGCTACACAGTGCCAGACATCCTGTTAGCTGGCATTCCTCCAAATACTCATTTTGTCAGTGTGCTCAGAGTGGGAGGCTGGATGCTCCTTCCAAGAATACAGGTTTTGGGGCCTTGTGAAGAGAGAAAGCTTTCATGAAATCTGTAACTTCCTAAAGGCTTTATTGCATGCAATCTTTAGGGTCAAGCTAACACTCACCCTAAAGGCTTTCATAGGAAATGTTCAACCATTCCATCATGTTAACATTAATTAATTTTAACCTGTATGATAGTGAGTTCCTTACATGTAAGATAAGGTGTTTGTGCTTTATCCACATGGCTTGACAAGAAAAAAAGCAAACTTAAACTATTAATAGTTTCAAGAAAAACAAAGGAATAGTCATAATGGTTATTAGCTCTTTGTGGTAAGGAACGATGCTTCTTGTCCAGTAACACAACTACAGATGACATTCAATAAATACTTAATGGTTATTTGATTGATGGCAATATTAATTTACTGTGATATCTTTCTTCCAAGTTATTCTTCACATTAATAAATTAATGCTGTTGGTTATAGAATAATTTTCAGTGAATTTATATAATTTAGCCTGGGTACATATAAGCCTCTTGGATAAAGTGTGTTAACCAAAAACAGTGAAAAATGTTTTACAATCAATTTTTCCCTTGAGTTTCAACTAGACTGACAAAATGTGTATGTTTTTAGGGGTAAGGTGAGAATCACTTTTGTAATTACGTAGCTTTACAGGGTACACACAAAGTACTTGTCAAATAATCTGTGCTTTCCCTTCCTAGAGGTGAAGACTCTTACTTTTTAAAACTATGCCTGAAAGACAGAATGTTGTGGCTGACCTGTTTTTCCTCCCACAAGTTTGATTCAAGATATCAGAAGTCTAAGTTTACCAAGTGAACGTTTGTCTGCTGGACAAGTAAGTCAAACATAGAAAACAATCATCATTAAATAGTATTCCTACTGTACTGAAAAATTTACTTCAATTAAAATAGGCATTTGCATTTCAAGGAGGGAGCTGGGAAGAAGGTAAATTGGCTTCTGTTAGAAGGGCAGTAGCTCTGGGAATAATTCCCTTTGTCACTGGGGATTCCACATCTGCACAGTGCTAGAGGACCACATGACCCCTTCTGCCTGTCAAAGGTTATAGTTAGAATTTATTACACCTTTTCTTATTTCTTTATTTTTCATTTTCCAACTTTTTAAATGTAAACTTTTCAACCATACAGAGAAACTGGATGTACAATGAACATCCTTTTTTCTACCATGTAGAGTCTATAATTAGTATTTTGCTATACTGAATTTGTCAACATATGTATCCATCTATCCATGTCTCCATCCATTCTTCAATCCATCTTTTATAATATACATTTCAAAATAAATTGCAGACAACAGCACATTTCCTGCCAAATACTTAAGCATGCATGGCATTAACTGGAGCTCAGTTTTGTTTACAGTTCCTTCTTGGGTTAAATCTTTCATTTTTAACATGAATATTTTTATTTCATAAAATGTATCATGGTTAACAACTATATAGCCTTTGGAATGATTATAATTGGTTAATGTTTGCCTCCCTCTCCTCTACAAGGCAACAGGGACTGTGTCACCAACATATCCACAGGGCCTGGTATTATAGTAGATGGTCAATATACAGTAAGCTTGTGAGGGAACAGATGGGAAGTCAGAAAGAAATGGGTGGAAGAGGGAGCTATAAAAATGGAAAGAGAAAGTAAACTATGGCTTCTTCAAACCAGTTTAAGTGTCTGCTGTGATGACTATTGGTGCTGGGCCATTTAAAGCCATTTTGGTACATGGAGCAGGCCCTTGCTGAGGAAATTGCCAGTTTGTGTTGGTTCAATTAAGAAAACAAAATGAAGTACTATGGGTATCTTCACTGATTGTTCTGCATATTAAGTAAGTTCCCAAGGTTCGGACTGTTTATTTGCTAAGGAAGCTTAAAGTATCTCAATTTGTAGTTTAGATATTTGCTAAGGAAGCTTAAAGTATCTCAATTTGTAGTTTAGACATCATTCCTATTCCACCTCCATGTCTGAGTTTTTGATGACCAACTTTTTCCTTAAGAGGAAATTTCATATGAAAAACACTTGAGCCATGGGCCAGATATATTGACCTAAGCGCTGATTGATTACAAACCTTATGTTTGACACAAGAAAATAGACTCTCACTTTTCAACCATGGGGAACTTCCTACCACGACTCCTCTTTGGCCATTACCCCAGTTCTTTTTGGCAATACCATCTCTAAATTGGGAATAAGTCTTTGTGAAAGAACTGGACTTCTGTGAAACTGCCACACCTCTGGAGCATGAGGGAGTTGTCTTAATTTTGTCCCCAGTGTTTGTAAAGGTGTCCAGTGTGATTCAAACTTCAAAGGTTGGAATCATTTTTTAGATGACCTTAGTTACCTGATAACAGATTTTGCTCTTATCTTTCTTGACAACTTGCCTTACATCACTCAGAGTTCATATGCCAGCCAACAGTGCCCCATACCCAGGATACACCACACCTCAAAACTTTTATTCTGCTTGTCAATCTATGAGATTCTGAGAACTAACCTGAGTTGAACGTCGTTGGAAGGAACCTGGCCTTAAAAATCCTCCCGGTTCAAATGTCAGATTATAAAAATTCTTCCATTAGGTAAGTCATTCCTTGGATTAAAGTAGTACCTTCCCGGTATTTTGTTACTGTGTTTCAAATTCTAAGGAGTTGGAGGGACAGCAAAACGTGAAGTCACATTTGTGAGAATGTTTTCTTCAAAATATTATCTGTGGATCGTACAAGGATCAGGGGAACTCTGAAAACACTGTGACCTTGGAGAGGAGGAGGAAGCTCTGAGTGCCAGGGAAAGTAAGGCAGGAAAAAAGTTCTTTATGCACTACCGGATTTTAGGCCACATACGTCTTTTCCCTGCTCAGTTACTTCTTTCCATGCCCTCCCAGCCACCACCTTCCAATCTTCTCCACGCCCTCCTTGCATCCGCAACACAGCTGTTCTCTTTCACCCCAACTTCCCAGGCGCCTGGCAGCACCGGCCTGAGCACCCGGCTTCCTTCCCGCCTCTCCCACGGCGCAGCCCCGCGTTTCGGCGCTGCGCTTCTTCCAGTCTTCCGAAGGCGAGTGAAACAGAAGACTCCTCCTTCGTGGAAAAAAATGCTTAATAACTCACCTTCAGTTGTCACCCTGTAGCGTTTCCCCTATGCCGAGGAGTTTTTGGTCACCTTTTCATAAATAAGAGTCCAGAATCTGAAAAACCAACTGCTGGTCAGTCCCGCTCGCTTCCCTGCCAATGAAAATCAATCCTACTCCGGCGCGGACGAACTCTTGAAGCCGGGGCTGGGGCGACAGACGGCCGTGCTGCTGTCCCCTCGCCGGGCGCGCAGGTCCTGTCACCTCGGGCCGCCCCCGCCTCCCGCCGGGGCCAGGACCTCTCCCCGCCTACCGCCCCCGGGCCTCGCCGTCCCTCCTCTCGCTCCGCCGCCGCCGCCATTGGTGTGGGCCTCTCCAGAAGGGCGCTCATTGGCCGCGGGGGCAGTCATTTACCCAGTGCATTCCGCCGCTCGCAGGCTTGTGGGGAAACTTCCTTATTATTGTGACGCCGAAAACGGAGAAACCCCGGCCGGACCTGAGGGGCTGTGGCAGTCGGAAATCCCAGCGGCAGTTCGGCGGGCACGGAGGTGCGCGGGGCGGGGGCTGGGGTTCCAGGGAGGAGGGGACCGCGGAGCTGCAGCCCGGCGGCTGTCGGGGCCGGTGGGGCACCGCTGTGAGCGCGCGGCTCCCGGAGGGGCGGCTGCGGCTGCGGCTGCGGCGCGCTCTCCACCACAACCTGGGACCCGGCGCGCGCGGAGGTCGGGCGCGGCGCCTGCAGTGCCTGCGGGTCGCGGGTGGCGGGGTTGCGCCGGGGCGGGCGCGCGGGTCGCGGGGCACCCGTGGGTTTCGCGTCCGCCTCCCTGGCCTTCTGCCGGCTCGCCCTCTCACCAGAAGAACCCCCGCGCCTGGAAAGGCCGGAAGCGGCTTCAAAAAACGGGAGCGCCCTCCACCCGGACGCAGCTGTCTGCAGAGCAGGAGGAATTGCGACGCCGAAAGTCAAAAAACAGGACCCTCCCCTTTCTCCTCGTCTGCCCTATTTCAGTTCTGGGGCTCCAGTGACACCCTCGCAGCGAGGGGGCGCGGACGCCTCCTCGCGGGATGGGAGCCAGCGAGGCCTCAGCGTTTTGGGGAACACCCGCGGCCGCGAGGAGTTTGCGCTGAGGACGCGGGGCTCGGTGTCCGCGGTGACAGCGCCGGTGGGGCCGGGGCGCCCGGCACCACCCACCTCCTGGAGGCCGGGCCGCCTGTCCTCGCCCGTGTCCGCCTGCTGGGCGGAGCCGGGGCGAGGGTGTATTACCGCACATTTGTGCGCAGCCGGGCGCGGGGGTGTCAGGCTCGTGGACGTTCGGGGGCAGGTGGCACTTTGAGTCATTTGTAAATGACTGGAGTAGGCAAAGTGGGACAAGTGACAGAGAAGGACGTGTGTAACCTGAAGCAGATGAGCCGGGGATGCTGCGGAGTCAGCACCTAAAGCAGCTCTGCATTGCTGCTGGGTATGCACTGTGGGCTCCGGGGATTATGTATTTGAACTTTGCTTTGGTCTATCACTGGTTCTGGCTGTTTTCTGATTACATTTTGCTTTAGCTTTTAAATCAACTCCTTACATTAAATTCATAGCTAAGCAAGCCTTCGAGGATTTTGCTTACATTGGTAACACACGGAATGTTTTAGGAAAGACGATTCAAGAGCTCTCTTCCATTTTTTTTGTGTGTTTTGGCTCTTTCCACAAATAGGAAGCTATTTCTAGAGCCTTTCATCTGAGGATTTGATAACATCAAGTGAGCTAATTTTAATTTTATATTGAGGAGAAAGAAAAGTGAAATAAAATGAGAATTAACAGCTTTTTAAAAGGCAGTGATTCTAGAAAAGAGATGTCTTAGTAGGCAGATTACTGTGAAGCTCTTTTTGTACTTTACGCTGGGGTGGGGAGTGGGAAATGGCATTATAAGTGAGAAAAGGTAATAATATATTTAACCCCCTTTTAAAGCAAGGTAGATGAATTCCACATCATTGTCTGACTACAACAGGCTAGGAACCTTCTGGAGAAAGTATGCAGGACTCAAGGAGAAAGGCTTGAAACCTCTTTGGTAAAACTCCTTTGGTATGAAAAAAAACCCAGTTGATTAGCATGCAGTTTTACTTGTTCATGGTGGAGCTTTTATTTTTGCAAAAAGAAAGGGAGTTTCTTATATGTTCCAAGTGGTGTAGTCGAAGCCATTGATTATACCATTTCATTCTGAGTAATAATTTCTTAAAATGTGAAGAATAGTCAAAACATTTTTTAAATATGTAAGAGTTGTACCCCTACTAGAGCTACAACATAGTTTTCCTGCAGTTTCAGAAGTAAAATAATATTCTCCAAATTGGATGGGATTTTCTACATAATAAGAAAGAAATAAAGTTATGACAGTATCTTAAAATTATGGAGGACTTTTTCTTTTGAGAGACTTAAGGTACCTCTCAGATAGTCTCATTTTATTTTGCATTAAAGAGGATGTGGTGATGAGAAAGAAGGCAAGATAAAAGAAAGCCTTCATAGCAGTTGCGGCAAAATATGCTCTACTGTGTATAGTATATGGAAAAATGGAAGAAAATGGACAAAATTGAATTGGTTTTCAAAAATTTCTCTTTAACCTAAATAGGAGATTTGAAATTTTCATTTTTCCTTTATATCTACTACAAATGCCAGGTATTTTTTAAGGTGCTCTTTAAGTCTCTAGTTCATTTTTAGAGGTGACATTTTCGTAATTGGTTAGAAGTTATCTTATTGGTGTTTAAACTTGGTGTTACTAGTCTTGAGGTACAGTGTTTGGGGAATATTCAAGCTTGTCGAATTTTAAGACACTCTTATTTTCAGAAGTTTACTTCTCATTTTTTTTTTTCAGTGACATGAAAACACTTTGCAGAGTTCTGTGGTTATTTCTGTAACTTGCAGATCTTCTGGGTGAGGTGGAACCATTCTAGCTTCTAGTCCAAATGCCAAGTGGTGAGTTACTTAATTTCTCTGAGGATTAAACACAATTATCTGTGTAAAAGGTTCCGGTTATTGTAGATGCCTAGAGAGGGACCTAAACAAATCCTTAATGACTTCCTTCTGCTGGGATGTAGTGAGGAGAGCAGGGTGCACCCAAGAGGGGGAAACCTAGTTTCTGGTCTCTGCCTCAGTAGCTTATTTCTCAGAGGGCCAAAGTTACTTGGCCACGGAAGGCCTCAGCTGTCTTTAAAATAAGGTTGGAAACATAAGTCTCTTGCCTAGAGTTTAGATCACATGGATTTGTCTTTTTAATAAGATGATCCCTTTGGTGATATGACTCTACCCTCTTTAGGCATTTATTACCTTTAGAAATAGTGCTTGCTGATGTCAGGGCCTGTGTTTCTGTTTGTGAACCAGTAAGGGAACTATTTCATTGTAACTCAGGGTGGACATAGAGGGAAGTCTGGCTAAATGTGTTGAGGTGGCTTCACTCATCCCTCATGTCTCTGGCTAACATAGGCTCCAGTTGCATGTATATATCAGCAGTAATTCAGCTAATAGGAGCTCCCTTACTGTGTGCAACATCTTTAAACGTTTATTTCCAAAACTGGAGAAATGGGTGTAGCTTGGCTTCAATTTGTTTGAGAGGCTGTGTAGCATCCCTGTTTAAGAGCATGGACTTTGGAGTCTAGTAGATGACGTTTGAATTCTGCCTTTGTCGCTTACTAAGTTTCCATTTCAGCCACTTGTTCACATGTTCTTGGGGAAGTGGTATAACCTTGGGATCATTCTAACGGGCAAATTAAATAATCTATGTAAACTATTTAGCAAGACTCAGACACACAATAGGCTTATAATATTGGTAATTATTACATTTTCTTTACTTAATAACTATTTATTGAACCCCTGCTGTGTGCCAGACACTTGTCTAGGGATAGAGAAATGAACAAAAGAGGCTCAGTCCTTCCTTCATGGAGCTTACATTGTTCAATTCTAGCATGCTGGTGACATTGAGAAACACCACTATTTAATGACAACTTAAATGTAAAACACCTTTCTACTTTCAGATCTGCTGACGTGTGGTGAGGGGAGAGTGCATTTTAGAAGGGACGATATATGTTATTATTTTTTGTAACTGCATAAGGAATGCTTATCTATCACTACCTGGAAAACAGAACTATTAAAGAACCTAGATTGTGGGAGTTCTGGTTTTCCTCATGTTTGGATTCAGCTCACTAAACAGTTTTCAAGCATCTGCTCTGTCCTGAGAACTGGAGATACAAAGAGGAGTAAAACCAGGTCCTCTCCATGGAGAAGCTCCCAGTGTGCATGGGTGGGGAATTGGTAGATGAGACACAAGAAGCAGTGACACTACCTCAATAGTACTTTTCATTTTCTTTTATTGTGAAGGATTTGTAAGCATCAAGTAATATATGTGCTGTATATGCTGGACAACAATAAAAGGACAAAGGCAGAATATTAGCCATGCTATTGAGGCTCCCTTTTGCCCCTTCCAGATTCTACTCTCCACCTCTGCTGTGCCCATAATCATTAACCTGTATTTATCATTTTCTTGCTTTTCTTCTTAGCTTTACCACCACTCATATTTTTATCATCAATTACTTGTTATACTTGCATTTGGACTTTGTAAAAATGCATCATCCTCTGAATTCTTCTGTGACTTCCTCCCTCTAACCCCAATACTGTTTTTAAGATATAGCTATTCTGATATTTGGAGGTGGAGTTCATTTGTTTTTCACCACTTACGGTATTCTATTTTATGCATGTGCTACAGTTTATCTGTTTTCTTATTGATAGACATTTGTGTTATTTTTGTCTTATCTGTTTCAAATAATGCTGAAATGAACATTCTAGCGCATAGGTCTTGAGGCATATGTTTCTTGTTGAATTGAACAGTAAGACAGCCACTAGCCATATGTGCCTATTTTATTAAAACTTCAGCTCTTCAATTGCATTAGCCACATTGCAAGTGTTCAGTAGCCACACATGGCTACCATCCTGGGAAGTGCAGGTATGTAATAGTTCCACTGTCACAAAAGTTCACAGTTTTCCAGGTTTCACTCTTCTTTGTATTTCTAGTTCTCCATGTAGTGCAAGAGCACCATAGATGCTTGGTAAGTTAGACGGTGCTTGTTAAAGGCATGAGTGAAATTGCTGTGCTCTGGGGTGTTCCTATCTTCCTCTTCACTAGATAATGCCGACTTGTTTTCCAAAGTGATTATGCCAGTTTGCGCTCCCACCAGCTGTGTCAAAAGTCTCGGTTGCTCTATATCCTTGACTTGGCACTGTCGAACTTCAACTTTTGCCAGCCTGGTCAAGTGTCTTTTGAAGGCAGTGCGCAGCTTACACAGACAGTGGAGAGAGAATTCTACTAGCTTCACAAAACTCAGCACCGGCTTGTGAAGAAGGCACCACCCATGAGGGGACCAGCAGGGGAAGGGAAGGGATGTTTCCTATGTTGGTTGAAAGCATCAGGGGACCACAGTGAAGAGGAGAGAAAACAGCAAGGAGCGGATTCACATTGTTGAAACTGTCTTTGCCTTCTGTGCCATTTTTGCCTATGGTAGTAAAATTTAACAATAAAGCATATCATCAGATGAATCTTCTTTGTTACTGGACTGGATTTGAGTTTTGGTTCTAAACTGACTTAAAACTTGGATTTGGGGATGGCCTGCAGAGCACTGAAGCCTTGGACATTGCCTTTTCCTACCACCTACCCCCCATTTCCCACGAATCATTCAGATAATGGCTTCTACTCTTATTTGAAAGGAGGCTTCTTCCTGTCGTGAGATTAGAAGTACTGCCTGTGGGTTGTTCAGGTTTCAGCATGACTTTCAAACAAAGGAATGAGAATCAGCTGTTAGGTTGCTGTAGTCTGATGAATAAGACAAAGATGAGAAATTTCAGCTTGTCTTTTAGCATTCAACTCACTAGGACTGATAGAGATTCATCTTGCCCCCCTGCCCTCCCCAGAATTTAAAAGGAAATAGACTAGAAAACTTTCTCTTAGCAACCTTGAATCCACTTTCTGAAAGTTACAGCAGACGGTGGTACTGCTGCTTTGCTGTAGTGCAGATTTGGCGGGCACGGTTAATGCTAACTGCAGGCAGGGAGAAAGGAGTCACAGCCCCAGCCTGTTTGCTGGGGTCTCAGAGAAGAGCCCTGGGAGCAGGATTAACAGTGAGGACAGCAGCTGATACTTACTGGTCACTTGCTACTGTTTACCAGGCACCAGGCTAAGCACTGTTTACATGGATTTTCACATTAGGCCTCACAACCGTCCTGTCGCTCTCTTCTCCCCACTTTAAAGACAGGAAAACACACTTAAGAGTTAAATATCTTCCCCAGAGTTTCACAGCTAGCTTGTCGTTAATTCAGGACTTGAACTTTAGGCCTTTTGACCCTGAAACCCTGCTAAGATTATCCTGGATCGTTTTACCAAAATAGATGAGAAGTGCTGGGAAAAATACCAGGTGTGACATCAAGGGAACGAAATATCTTGTTATGGTGGGGAAATAAGGGGCAGGCATAAATGGAGAGACTGGGAGGGAGGTGGCATGGAACAGCCAAGGTGGCCGGGATAGATGCTGAACCATAGTGCAGTCTTTGCATATTCTTCTGCAGCACTTATGCATAATTGTGTGTTTTGAAGGAAAATAAAAGATTCTATTTCTCTAGGAGTAAGGGAGACAGTGAGTGAGAAAAAATGGGTAGGAGGACCTGGGAGATCAAAGTCCCAAGTGATGAAGAATATTGCTGAAGCTAGACTTTTAAATTCATGGATACTAGTAGCTACTAGATTTGGGGTCCACCTTGATGTACTTTTAAGCAAAAGTTGTATTGATGGCTGGCTTCTCTTCAATGCACTGTACTTCTCCCCTGAAAGCTAGATGATTTTAGTGCCTCCTATGTAGTTTTGGCAGAGCATCATGATGACTGAGACCGTATTTCCAATTATGGTTAATAATTCACTCATAGAAATATATCTTATTTGTGGTTGTGATTTAGTTACTTTGCTTAGTAGTTTTTATTTGACTTCTCGACAATTCCATTTCTACAACTCAGTTGGGAAGGATTTTTGAAGCTTTCTTAAACAGTAGTCCTATTTGTCTCTTTTCATAAATGGTTCCTACTAGCCAGTTAGGGGCGATGCCATGCATCAGGCTGATTACCCAGGCTTGCATTTGGTCAAGACACCCAGAGTTCAGCTGACTGAAGGACTGACTCATGCTAAATGAACTTATAAGAAGCTCATAGATCCAGGATGCCAAATTAATAATGAGAAGTAGAAAGGCCAAGAAAGCCGGGATGCTTTGGTCAGCAGGTCACTGTGTTCTTTCCCCATAGTAGGATCTTGTTGGAAACCAAGTTATTTCAGGTTGCTTGTTAATCATGGAATCTAGGCAAGGCAAGTGACTCAGAATTTAATGACCAGTGTCATGGAGTCTGATCTACTTATGTCTGCTATTGGGCAGTGATTACTTAGCAGATCAACTAAGTTGAATGATCATGATGCCTTTCTCTCTGAGATAGGGCTAGAGACATTGGGAAGTTCTTACCCTGTCTATTTTCTAGACTCCTCATTATAAAGCATAATGGTCAAGAGCACTGGCTCTGGGCTTAAACTCTCTCTCTGCCACTACCTAGTTGTGTAATTGGATCAAGTCACTTCACTGTCTTGCTTTCTTTTTTCTATCCTTTATTTTTATTTTTTGGTTTCACTTTCTTCATCTATAAATTACAGATGGTAATAGTATACCTACCTCATAGAAGATTAAATGAGTTTATATCTGTGAAACACAGAAAAGAACCAGACTCAGAGTAAGCTCAAATTAATGTCTTGCCTGCTGTTGTTATTAATGTCATTATTAATATCATCAGTCAGGAGTTTTTCTTTTTTCTTTAAGTGCCAGAAATCCAATTCAAATAATCTTAAGTAAACAAAAAAGACACTTAGACTATGTATAGTTGATTTTCATTGTTTATGGTAGTTATGTTTCATAAAGTTGCTGCAAACACAGAATTAGTGAATCCTAGCCATTGCTTGTGGGGTAAAAGAGGGTCAGTCAGGTTCCTGTGGGGAGCCTCTGGTCAAGCTGATCAACACATAACCTTGTTTTGTGTGTGTTCATGTGTGGTTTTGTTTAGACACCTTATTTAATATGTATTTCTTACAAATGGTTAATTGTACTCAATATTTCTTTCTAATAAAACACTAGTCAAGAAAGATTTTTAACATTTTCCTGAACCTGAGTAATGTGACAGGAAATTTCTTTGACTTTCAGCCTCACCGCAGGGCTGCCCACTACATGCTGTCATCAGTCATCATCTCATGAATCCACAGAGTCAGCTGTTTTCCATCTTTTCTGTAGCTTCCTTATGCACTATGGATGCTAGTTTAGGACTTCCCATAGCAGCTACATGTACAGATATATTGGTGAATTTCTTCTGCCTTTTTTAAAAGATATACCCTATTGTTGAATTAACATTGAACTCAGAGCCAACAGAACTATAACTCATATATGAATGAGGCTCATCTAACACATGTATTTTCTCTGTGAGGCACATTACAGCCTTCTTGCTGTGGAACACTTAGGAACCCTAGATGGTAGTACTTTATCTCCACACTTGGGCGCCATTTTAAACAGCAACATCACCACCAAAAAAATACAAAAAGGTGAAAAACATGACACTTAATAGACTGCCAAAAGGCCACTCATTTATAGTCTGAAAGCTGGAACAAGAAAGCAGACCATCATCTTGTTCAGCTTCAGCTGGAAGTGTGTGTATAGGATGACTTAGATGTTTCACCTCTGCACATGTCTAGGATTGGCTACAGAAATGTTCCAAGTATTGATTTTGGGGTTACAAATTAATTTTAGAGGATAGGAAAGTTCACAAATCTGGAATCCACAGTGAAGAACAGCTTTACTTAGGAAGAGTAAAGGTGGGGGTGCTGGCACCAGACAAGAGGGGGATCCGAGGCTCACTCAGCATCGCTGGGACTCTGTCTCTTGTCTTAGCACGTCTGCGACTGGAGGTTTGTAAAGTTTTCTAGGTGTCCTCCGTCTGGCAGGGAGGGTAGCTTCCAGCCGCCTCAGTTATCCTTCAGGGGCAAAAGGCAGCCTTCCCTTGAGCTCCGTGGAACTCAGGGGGGAAGGACTCTGACCGGTTGGGAGCACGAGCCTATTCGGGGGTGGCCTCGGGTGGCTTGTCCTGGGTCATGCCCGTCCTTCTGCACAGCAGGTAGCTTGTTACCAGATAAAGGGGACTTGAGATGTTAGACAAAAAAGCAGTCGATAATTCCCTTGAGGAATTTTTTTGTAAACTAATCTTCATTCATAGAAAGCTTGCACCACACCGAGTCGCAGCTTTCTTTCACAGTGAGTGCATTTCAGTCATGGCCAGTTTCACCTGCACACCCTTGTTATGGATGAGAAGTGTTCCATTGTGTGAATATACTGAATCTGTTTATCCAGCTTTTGTCAATGGGCTTTTAGGTTGTGTCATTTTTGTTTAGTACGAATAAAGCTGCCATGAGCATTGTTCATTCTTCATGTAGACATACAGTCCTGTTTCTTGATACCATATTTTTAGACACATAGTACTTGGCGGGTTAAGGGGATGGCTTAATGCTACAGCTGCCTAATCTTATCCATTAGCTCTTAATTCTGACTATTTCACTCTCAGAGGGGAAATTTATTTACAAGTTTACATCCTGTATTGTGTACTGACTACAGTTGAGTCATTCTGTGATGTTTTGTGTTCTTGCTCTTGTAGGTGACATATTAATCTACTGGGTGGCATGGTAGTCCAGTGGATAAGAGTGTGAACATTGGCATCAGACTTAGGCATAGTTTGGTTCTGGCTTTTTCTGGCTGAGTGACCTTGGACATGCTTCTTAATCTCTCTGAGCCTTGCTTTATTTGAAAATAAGACTGAAAATAGTCCTATGGCACAGGGTTGTTGTGATGAAAAATGCTTATTGGCATAGACTGATGTCTGATAAGCATGATGTTGCTTATATAGTTATTGGTAGCTGAGATAAGAACAATGTGAAACATTAAAAATGAAGAAGTGTGGATACAGCAATTTAGCACATTTGGAAAATGAAATCATAAAAAGATTATGATGATGCCTTGCCAATAGGTTTCAGCCTGGAAAAGTTCACTATGGATTCAGTGTGACCAAAGAAATGCCAGTAAACGTTCTTGGGGTGAAAGGGTTATACCCAACTTTATTTCTACAGCAGCAGGTCAATCACTAGAATCCTGTCCACTCAGAGCGAGTCTGCATGCAGCAAGCTGGTCTTTGCCTCTGGGCCTCTCTGCCCATGCTGCCACCACTCCAGTCTCATCTCTGCTGCCCTGCAGCATTGCTGCCATACCACTATATCATGCAGAGCACTGGGCGAAACTCTTTATATAGAGTCAATAGCAATGTATTGCCCACATGTATGTAGTGAGCTAGCCAACCAGGGCCACGTGAGAATCCTGGCCATAGGAACCTTCACTTTATCCACAGATGATCTTAATGATCTCTTAAAATGTATACATTCCTACTCTCACCTCCCCACCCTACCCTCACTTTGCATTTTATTTCTCCTCCCTTTTTGCAGTTAACTCAAAGAATAACATTTAAGCTTAATATTGTGTTAATTCTAGACAAGTCTAGACAAGAAATAAAGATCTTGGGAAGAAGCAAAACTTTCTGGTTAAGACAGTAAATTGAGATTCAGTTTTATATAGCATTTTGGGCTTTATCATGCCTGTCCTGAAAACCTCAAAAGGTCAAGAGTAAGTTAGGTAGCATTACTGTATATAGCCAGATAATAGACCAGTGTGTAGAAATACCATCTTTTATTTATCTGTTCATCAACTGATGGATATTTGAGTTTACTTTCATCTTTTGGTATTATGAATGGTGCTGCTGTGAATGTGTACAAGTTTTTGTGTGGTTGTATGTTTGCAGTTCTCTTGTGTATATATCTAGGAGTGGAATTGCTGGATCATATGCTAACTCTGTGTTTAGCCTTTTGATAAACTGTTTCCCAAAGCACCAGTGTCATTTTACATTCCTACCAGGAATTTAGGAGGGCTCCAGTTTCTCCACATCCTTACCAACACTTGTTATTATTTGTCCTGTTTGGTTATAGCCATCATAGTGTGAATTGGTGGAGAGAGTTGAGCTTTTTGTTTTCATTCATAAGAAACGGAAGCATGAATTTTTAAAAGGTAGTGAAACTTTGGGCTAGGTCAGCAGTAATCAATCAGCCAAAATTTGCTTACCTGATAAATTGAAGAGGTATGTGTTACACTGTGGTCTCTGTTTAAGGCAATTAAAATCTGGCTGAGGAGTTAAGTTACATCAAGAAAGTCACCAATCAAGGCAGTATATTAGATGTGTCAGAAGGATGCAGGCTGTGGCTGGACTGGTCTCAGAAGCTTTCAGGTAGGACATGAAGCTTGACTCAGACACAGAAGGATGGGTAAGAGGGAATGGCAGAGAAAATTGTATTTTTTTTTCCATTTCTCATTCTGTTTCAAGTGGTGAATTACTACTACTACCCCAGATAATAGTAGGCTACCTAAAATAGTTAATTAGTTTAAGAAATTTTAAAAAATTAAATGAGCAGAAAAAGGAAAGGTGTTGTGAGAAAGAACAAGGTGAAATCATGAGGGTAATTCGAAAACTGTTATTGCCACAATGGTTTGGAAAGATTGGTTCAGCAAGTCTCCTGTACGCAGAGTTCCTCTTCAGTGTGCTGAAAATCACACCCTGACTGTGTTCACTATTAATTTACACAAAATTTGTTTAGAAATGTTATTTTAAACTCATACAGCATGAAGGTAGTGTCATATCATGACTATTTTCAACGAGAGTATTATGTGCTACTTTGTGATGCAAGGTAGCTGAAGAATGTTAAGAGGGGGGGTATTTTTTAAACTGATTACATTTATTAAAGTGATTTTCTTTTACCTATTTTTTTGTTTGTAACTTATTTAACAAAACTCTCTCCTAGACTACGTGACTTCCTGAAGGATAAGAACAATGTTATGTTGGGGATCTTGGTCTCTGGGCCAGCCTGGGATCAGCACCAACCTGCAAGGGATTGTGGCCGAGCCACAGGTGTGTGGATTCGTATCGGATAGCAGCGTCAAGGAAGTGGCCTGTGGGGGAAACCACTCCATGTTCCTGCTGGAGGATGGGGAAGTTTACACTTGCGGGCTGAACACCAAGGGGCAGCTGGGCCACGAAAGGGAAGGAAACAGGCCAGGTGAGTGCAATGCCTCTGCCTTCATGGCTGTTGGGAAGGCTGAGGAACGGGCATTGCTGGTCCAGGATCGCCTCATGAGGTGTTTATCTTTCCCGGAATCTCTGAACTGTGCAGGTTTCCTGGACGGTTTGGAACTTTGAAGTCTAATTCACGCCTTTTGATGGAAAAACAGACTTTTCCTTTTCTGTCTTGTTAGATAACATATGTAATATCAGTTCCTGGGGAGGGAGGTTGACAAGTTAGCTCAGAGTTAGAGAACTAGATTTTCCCTGGTAACTGAATGCTAAGACATGATGATCGTTTTGTAATTCTTGTCCAGTCACTGTCAGAAGCATTTCCCCCTTGTTTTCCTTCTAATTACCTGTTTGTTCATTTATTTCTGTAACACGCTTTTGTTAAGTGTTGTGGGCTGAGCCCTGAGCTTGGTGTTGTGAGTAAAAAGATGAGAGAGATTGTGGTGGTATGGCTCTTGGAGCCGCTTGTGGAAGGGTGTGCGGGGTAAGTTGAAGAATATGCTGGGGGAATGGGGAAGGAGGAGTTCTTTCTCCCTTTGGGGATTGAGTAGGAAGCATGGGTAGGACTTGAGTGTGTGTGTGTGTGTGTGTGAGTGAGAGAGGGAGTGAGAATGTGGCAGGAACACCAAGCTTCTTGCACATATGTGAGTACCTAGTGATTAAAAAAGGCCTGGGTATCACGGTGCAGTCATTCAGGAAATGTTAAGTTGTGTGCAAGACAGTTGATGGAGGGCAATGAGAGGATAAGCTGGAAAAGTAGGTGGCTAATGAGATCGCTTAGGTTTTGGTGTCTCTCCTTTATTTAGAAAAGTTGCCGGGCATATTCAAAGTCCATTGGTTTGAATTTCATTTTCTTTGCACTTTTTCTGAGTTTGACCTTGAGTATATATGTAGTGTGGCTCTGTGAGGTACTTCCCCAGTCTCAGATTTCAGCTGCATTTGGAATAGTTGTGCTGATGCTTAAATGAGTCTCCTTTTGGTGAGAAGTGATAAGGTATAGGGTCTTAAAATTTAACATGTTGTGTTTGTCATACTAACATGGGCGTATGCCATTTTCTTTGTATCATTTTTATTCAGTCCAAATCAAATTGAGTTACTGAAGCTTCATTAAAGAACAGTCTTGCTGTTTTTTCCCAGATGAGTTTACTCTTTTGTGTTCATTTAGAAAAGTCAGTTTGTCATCAGGATGAGCTAACTTTTTTCCATGACACTATCTCCCACTTTTCTCATATTTATTTCCTCTGATGGCTTGTGGCTGTGTTCCATAGTTCCCAGCCCAAATGTCAGTATTAATTTATAATTGTTAACTTTCATGATAAAGGGCTGCAGGCTGATCTTAAGCAGAATTATGTAAGTATGTGAAGGATGGTTTGTGGGCTCCTTGCCCATTCTTTGCCTCCAGGTTCTCTCCCTGGCATCCTCTCAGACCCCATACCACCAAGCCTGCTCACCTGGAGCCATACCCAGTGTTCTAGCCACGGGTTCCTCACCTGTGGACCCTGGACTCTTGAGATTTCAAAAAGAGGATTTGTAGTGTAGTTCCTATGTATGTACACCTTTATATGTACTATGTACTTGATACCATAGGTTTTCAAATGTAGATCTGTTCATTAAGATAAAAATTCAGTTAACAGTATGCACCCACCTCAAACACTAAGTTAGCAAATTCTACTCATTGTGTGTTTTACCAATTAATATAATGCAAAAGTATAAGAAGCAACTGTTACAGAGGTGGGAGGATAGCTTTTGCCTTTTAAAAATGTTTTTCATATTGTAAAGATTAAGAACCACGGTTTTCTTTCCCCTCTTCCTGTTAAAACTCACTTGTGTCTTCTGTGGAGTTCTGATTCTTGCTGTTTGTCCAGGTGAGAGCCAGAATCTAGCAATTCATGCCTACAGAGGGATTAATGCAAGTAACAGCCCAGCAGAGGGTCCTTCCTGTGAGAATGTCTGCATTTGGCCAGGCCTTAAAGACACTTAATGCCCACTTCCCATCAGTGATCCCTGAAGATTGTAGTCACCCTGGCCTGCCCTTGAAGGGTGTATTTTAGGAGCCAGGAGATCTTTCCTGTATCCTCCAGAGTTAGCGTGAGGGAGAACTCTGGAGCAAGACAAGCCTGGTGGAGGCATCGTTTCTCTGATGGGTATTTCTTTGCCGCAGTGCCCTCTCCTGTCAAAGGAGACTTCCTGTGGTAGTGCAGCTCATGATGAAGTGGATTCAAATGTGGAAGGAGACTCTGCCAAGCTACCTGTGACCTGTGAAGGCCACCCTCTCCACACCCTTCCCCTCTGTCTCCTTTGTGACTCTGCCTTCTGGCAGGTAGTCCCCCAGCAGGGCCTGTCGCTCAGGCTTGCCTCACTGTACACCTTTATCTTAGGACCTGGCTGGGAGGGTTCAGCCTGAGGTGGCAGGTGAGAAAGGAAATGAAAACCTTGCTTGCACTCCAGCAGCAGCAAAGATCTGTGGCAGGCACCATGGTGAACGCATCTGAGTGCAATCTCACAGGCTTCTGGTGGAGCCTCCTGACAGCAACATGGAGCTAGCAGTGGGTGGTTGCTGGGCCCCTGGGAGTGAGTGGAAGTGTTGGAGCAGTCCCTCTGCTTCTGCCTGTGTGGGGGTCAGGCCAGCACCTTACACAGCCTGCAGCCCACTCCCCCATAGGCAATGCGGAGTGATTGCAAGAGACTTGAGCTAGAAGTGTGTCAAGAAGGCTTTGATATTCAACCACTGAATCTAGCCCATGCTTGTAACCTAAATTTGGAATAAGCAAGCCTCTAGTGTAATTTATAGTAGGTTCCAGAAATTTCTGTTGTTGGTTAAGCTTGTCTGTTAATTATAAACTCCATAGCAGCTGTGGAATAGTGCCTCTTTGAATGGGAAGATTATATACATGGGTAGGTGCCTCTCTCTTTTCCAACTTTTTCATTAGTAGGTGTTTTCTAAATTGGGTACCATGGGTTTATTTTTAATGAGCAGGAAATGGAGAATGAGCTTGCTTTCTGTATGTGCTCATTGAGAACTGTGACCTGGAGAGCTACTAGGCATGGAGGGGAAGTCAGTGACAGACCCTGTTTCAATAGCTCTGCTGGCCCTGCCCACAGGAAGGCTACCCCCACATAACCCCTGTGGTGTTTGGCGGGGGCGGAGAGTGGGTGGGTTGGGAGCTTGATAGAAGGCCATTTTGCCAGAGAGGATGTTTGTCGGGGCAGAGGACAAGTCTGTGATTTTAAGTTGGCATCATTGCCCAGACTGAATGACTTTGCAGTGTGAAGGATTAAAAGACTAAGGGGAAGGAAAGGTGGAAGAAGGCGGTAGTGTAGGAGGTGTACAGGATGAAACTCTTCTATTTGAACATTTGCCCTGAGCTGCCCTGCCAATCATTGAATATGACTTTATATACTTTGTGTCTAACTATGCAGTTGCAAGGTACAGGAATCTTTTATTTTTGGCAGAAATCCTGTACTGGGACAGAGCACTGTTTTAAAGCACTCCACATGATTTTAAATGGTTTCTTCTTTTTTTCCTCCTTGAGAACATTTAAGTTTTCTATTGCTTTTGCTGCTCCCCAGGCTACTGTGCTCTCCATGTACTCTTCTCTGCTTAGTACTGCCCTTATGTGACTAACTTGGTGTATGTCTCTCTGTATGGTGGGGAGGTGTTTCAAGGACTCACCAAATACTGAAACTCCTGGTTATGAAGGCCCAGGTATTTTCCCAGTGTGTCAGGTAGTCTAGGATTCTCATTTAGGTTTGTCCATGATTCATTCATTTGTGCTTTTGGCCAAGAACAAGAGGCTTGTGATTCCCAGAAGCATTTTTCATGGGCAGAATATTAAAGTCCCATCTAAACTCAATGTCTAGCTTTTTGAAGTGAGCATTGGATTATAACTGTTTTTGCATATTCCTTGACTGTATGCGTTCTGTCCTTCACTTTCTCCCTGTGATTCCAACCTTATCTTCCCCACACATTCTCAGAGAGAGTTTTGGCGATTCTGGCATTGTAGGATCATTACTGACCAATTTCCTCATGTTTCTACCCATGAATTCATCTCATAATTTCCTAAGACATGTTACACAGCTGTATTATAGGAACACTTGTATGCCTTGTCCCCTTTTTTACATAGAGCAAGCAAACAAAGCATGAGTTTTTCTAAATTATGATTTTTAAAAAAGTAAGTACAGTGAGTAATCTATAACTGAGCATAAAGCAAATCTTGAAATATTTTATTAAGCTAAAATAGAAACTGGTTGCCTATGGAAAGAAATTCAAAAAATTTAGCTCAGTTTACCATGCCTCCCTTATTGCCACCCAGCTATATTGTCAACAGTGCTCTTCAGCTAAACTGACAGGTTTCCCTTCCGTATACATACTTTGATTTTCCATATTGGGACTTTTAGCATAAGCTAATGGTTGTATTAGTTATTAGGAATGTCTGAATTAATGTAAACCTCCTCTAATTTTTCTTATCTTGAGTAGGCAAGAGCTGTGGTGCTGTGGTAGGTGCAATTATTCAGTTGAATTTAACTTTGTTAAATTTTTAAAATTATACGTAGTCATCCAAGGAAACTTTTTAATAGCAACCCCCCAGTGTAACAATTTTTAAGCAGACTCTAACATTCTATTCAAGCCTGTTGGATTTGTATCTGTGATTGGTTCCTTTTACTTCCCTCCTGAGTTACTCTTTTTCTTGCAGGTAATTTAATCCAATTCACATTCATATTTTGTATTCAATCTAAGCATTTCCATAATGTCCTTCACCATATGTAATGGATCCCCTGCTGTTTGGTAAATGAGGTTTATAAAGCAGAGCATCTCAAAAGCGTTAATTCCCAGAGCTGTGGTTGCTGCTAACCCTGGTAGAAGTAATACATGGAACTAGCTTATCAGGTTGCTTTGGGCATCTGAAGGATGCAGTTACTGCCGTGTTAATTAGCTTTTGCCACAAAAGCAAACTAGCTGAGCTGAACGGAAATAGAGGAAGTCCT